TAAAAGTATTTTTAATCTTAAGATTAAAATTACTTTGCATCTTGGATAGGCAACATGCAAAAAGAAAAAAAAGCATGAGAAAAACATTGCTTTACAAACCTTAAAACTGAATAAAATAAATTTGATATTTTGCATATGAAAGCATTGTAATGTTTGCTGATAATCTGCCAAATTTTGTTAACATACGCTTACTAATTTAAAAGTTTTAGCATGAAAAGTATAACAAGCACAAAAAGGTTACGAGGTCAGTCCCAGGGACTAAGCCCATGCCGAAAGAGTTAGATCTTTTATTTAACCCTTTCGAGACGGGTCACAGGTGAAAGGCCATGTCATCTTGTTTGTTGAATCTCATTTAACATTTTATTGAACTACTATTTCACGAATTTATGTCAATAACTTTGGTATCAAACTGTAGATTATAAATCAAATTTTAGAACTATACATTACTCAATTTCTTAATTTAAAAGTAAAAATAAAAAATACACAGATAAACATGATTTTTGTGTGTCACGTGGTATGTTGAATGCAGCACTGGTTCAAATTAGATGTTTGTGAAGTCAAAAATATTAAGTCTATAGTTTCATACAAATTAGTATCTCAAATTACAGATACTGACAAGCTAGAATATAAAATAAGGTCTTATCCTTTCTAATTGCTAAGATATTGCTCATGTAATAAATCAAACATAGTGGCACCCCGCTCACCTCCTTCCATTTTTGGAAACGCTCTCTTATATATACTTACTTCTATATATGACATGAATAACCAATCGGTAGCTCAGAATGTCCCCCTAGTGGTTTTCTCAGCCTAACATACCTTGAACCATTTCTTTCTTTTATATCAAGATTTCAATGAGGTAGGTTGTGTCTTTAGTCTGCTTGATCATTTATAGTGGAATTCTATAGTATTGATGTAGTAATTTATGATTTTGTAGTTATTCAAAACTATATATAAAACCTTGTTTCATATCCTCCATATACATTTTAAAGGATTAGCAACTTGCACCAAGCAGCAACTGAGTAGAAGAGTATAATTTTTGCTTTACTTCTTTATTTACTGTTCTGTGTAAATACCAAAGGTCACCTTTATGTTATTTGATCCAGTAACATGAGTGCACATGAGCCACATCGTTGTAACTTCTGTATTGTTAGCCAGGCATGGGTGTAAGGTCAATATAATAAAAATAATAAATATACATAAATGTATAATGTTATGAGATATAAGCTATTTCATCTAAACAATTATGTTTTCATGTTATAATTTGTGTTCATTCTAGAATGCAAGAGGTATAATTTATGTTTATTTCCTAATTTTTATGGTGGCTGCGAGATCGGTCAAACTTGTTAAAATGAAAATTACTTTGCATGTTGGATAGGCAAGATGTGAAAAGAAAAAGAAACAGCTAATATTACCTCAATGTCTTGAATAAACCTAGGATACAGTCTTCTATAAAACATGTGGTCTGAACGTTGCTCTCCTGGTGGAGGTTTAAATAAGTACTTGATCCTGGGAGAAAAAATTATTAAACTAATTAACACAAATATGAACAATAATACTCATTTTGTCATGCATGCAAAAAGTACTGCTAGTCTACACAGTCATGTGTAGTTGCATTAATAATTGTAAGGTTGAAAATATTAGTTTTTTCATTTAAAACTGAAAACTACATGCAAATCATGCTATTCAGCTGTGGTTTGTTTTATGAAAGTTTCTGCTTAAAGTGATAAGGATGGCCACATAATACATTCTTTTCAAAAAAGTTTCCCCTGGCATTCCAGGCAAAACACTAGATTTTACAGACGTTTACAAATAAGCATAAAACACAATAACATTTTAACTGTTCTTCATAATTCTACCTAATTAACATTACTCTAGTTAGTAACCTCATTAAACAAAATTTAGAATATGGCATTACAGACAAAAATCTTCACATAAGGATACTGCATAAGAAGGTAAGTAATACAATGTTTTATTTTTATTCATAAAATAATATTTGATCTAACTTATCATCAAACATAATGAATTAGATAATTATCACCAGATCAAACAACAGTAGCTGTCCACAATTATCTTAAAACATACCAAAAATGGCATAACTAAGCACCATGATTTGTATACATATCCATAATTGATATAAAAATAAGAGGGGACAATTCCCCTGACTTTTCCAGAAGTTGAAATAATTTTTGAAATTCTCCCTTACTTTAAGACCCCCCTTTTGTTTTGAATTTCCTGACTTTTCTATGTTCATGTTTTAAATAATTCAAAACTAAATTTAACATCTTAACACTTGGAAAAGAAGGAAATAATCAATGTCTGAAAATAATTTCAAAAGTGTTGAAGAGAAAGTTCCAAAATAGAAATACTGTATTGTGAAATAAACATTAAACAAGAAGAAATGCACTGTATGCTCAGTACTTTTATTAGCTTACATCATATTAAACTGGTCACCTAAAATATTTCATTTTCAAAAGGCAAGTGAATTAAAAAAATGAAATACCATCCTCTTCTTTCAGCTAGTCCTTTCCATAGAGCATCAGTTTGAACTTTTCTTTCTATCAATTTCTTCCATAACATTCCTTCAGATATCACTCGTGACCATTCTTTACAGACTAGTTCTGCTGAACAGAGAGACTCAGCATCCAAGTAAGATAAAATGGTTTCAGCTACATGGTCCAAACCTTTTTCTGAATAGAAATAAACAGATTAACTTCAACAAATCAGATTCTATGAACTTACTTATTTTTTACAAATCCTGGGAATGCAAAGCCTTACTTGTGATACTTTTATAGAAATATGGTACAAGTAAATTTTATAATTATTGCTAAAACAATAAAAAAAACTGTGGAAATTTGTTAATTTTCTTCTTCTTCTTCTTAACACAATGAACTTGATTTATGACAAAAAATGTAAGTTAAAGCATGTTACTGAAATATCTGTTAATTATTTAATATCAAAAATCTTTAAACCCTTAATACCTTAGTTAGTCAACTTTTGTATGAATAAAGTTCTTAACTACTTTCTCACCACTAAATATCTACACTGCAATGATTTATAAGCCTTGTTGGCAGTACAACTGTAATACATGAATACGTAAAAGATAGATTAGTTTATGTGCCTCTTTTCTCATAAGAAACTGGCAGATGAAACACAGGTTTACATTAAACTCAAATTTGTTATTTTGCTTGGTTAACAAAGATAATGTGTAGTAAAAGAATTATCTATTTTTTATTAAACCTGAATACATACAGAATGTTTTGATACTTTGTTGCAATAAACCAGTAGGAATGAAACACATGAAATCAGACTAATAAAGGCTGTAAAAAAATAAAATTTAATGTCAGCTCTCATCCTATTAAAATTCCAATGACACTGGGTCCACATCTAACAGTATATATTACTTTTCTTATGTGGAGTAGTAATTTTACTTAAAAAGCAATTTACATATCATCTACTTTGTAGCCTAGTATACCTGTCTGTCCTTCCATAAACACAGTAGATCATAAAATAACTACATAAGCTTACATTTTGAGTTCAACTTTATAGACTTAAACTAATTCCCTTTTTCTCAAGACTAGGGTTTATATACATACATGTACAGTATATGCACAGCATATTTCAGCAGTTGTAGAACAAGTCATTCCAGTTCCAATTAATTTGCAAGCCAAATATCAGTTTATATGCATTTATAAAGCAGTAAGAACAACACAAACACTAATAATAAAAATGTATTGCTGTTACAAACAAAAAGCTATATACAAGTATAATTTAATGATGTTAGGTTTACTCTGCATTCATTGTAGCTTTGTACTAACTTTTCAGGTTGCCTACATTTATATCTAACTACTCCACTGAGAATGGTTACAACTAAATTAATCTTTTAGTTATATACATTTACTCAAATAATGTGGGATTTTTTATCTTAAAAATAGTCAACAATACTCAGCAACTTGTCTTCATTAAAATGCTAAACGTTATTTTTATGAAAAGTTCAAAATCACAGACAAAACTAAATTCTGAACTGGGGGGGGGGGGATAATTATATTAAGCCTCTTGATATGATGTATTTATTTCAAGTATTATCTACCAGTATAACCTGCCAGTTTTGACAGTCCTTAAAGAATGATAAGTTATTGAACTGGGCAGAAAAACTTAAGATATTTTTAGGCAGCTGGTAATAAAATTATGAACCAGTATATTGCAAAACTTTGTATTATCTGTCAGAGTGATTACGAGTTTGTTGAACTAAACCTACATGTTTGGTGTATGATATTTTTGAGTTTCAAATAAAAGAAAATCATTAAGAATTTATGATAATAGCTATTTTAAACATACAAAGTTATAGTACTTAAAAGTGCCATCATTTTAGAACACCATAATGTTACTCAATTCATTAGAACATGTCTTATGTTTAAGAATACTGAAAATATCTTCTTTATTAACATACTTTAGGGTTATCATCAAAAGCATGTATATTAAACTTAGCAGTACAGTATGTACACCTGAGCAGAAATTGTTCTAGAGAAAAAAACAAACAAACATTATTAAACAACAATGCTGTGTAAGGATGAACATACAAGTAAAGATACATCCTGCTTGTGGTTAAACCTCATAAAATAATATTTTCAAATGAAGCTTCTATGCATTGAATAAAATCCTAATTGATAAACTAATGTTTATCAATACCTATATAGTGCTAAAATATACCACGTTCTCTCAATATATA